CACATAGCATATACCAACACATTGCATATACTAACAAATAGCATATACCAACACATAGCATATACCAACATATAGCATATACCAACACATTGCATATAGCAACACATAGCATATACCAACACATAAATATACCAACACAGCATATACCCACATATAGCATATACCACCCCATAACATATACCAACACATAGCATATACCAATACATTGCATATACCAACATATAGCATATACCAACATATAGCATATACCACCCCATAACATATATCAACATTTAGCATATACCAGCCCATATCATATACCAACACATAGCATATACCAATACATTGCATATACCAACATATAGCATATACCAACACATAAATATACTAACATATAGAATATACCAACACATAAATATACCAACATATAGCATATACTAACACATAAATATACCAACACATAGCATATACCAACATATAGCATATACCAACACATTGCATATACCAACACATAGCATATACCAACACATTGCATATACCAGCACATAGCATATACCAACATATAGCATATACCAACACATTGCATATACCAACACATAGCATATACCAACAATTAAATATACCAACACATAGCATATGCCAACATATAGCATATACCACCCCATAACATATACCAACACATAGCATATACCAACATATAGCATATGAAGCTACCAACACACACCACTAGCATGTAGCATATACCAAAAAAAATTTAGAAATCTTCTTTAAAAGGTTGATCTTAATACAATAAAACTTGACTTACCATTTTAATTGCACCATAATGTCATCAATATATCATTCAAGTCATTAATCCAAGGAGTTAAAACCTAGCCACATTTTGCCCACAGAACGTCCCGTTTTATAGCACGCTCCCCAAGAGGTGGGAATTACAACATGAAGGATCGGCAAAGTTGATAAGAACGATTAGGTTATTACCCAGCGGAAGTATTCATCATCTATTCAAAAAAAGTAATAGTTAAAAAAAATCATGTGTGCCTTTGAACATAGTGTTTGACTATAATAATAGAAGATATATCAGGTAAATATCACCACCCTAACTACAAATATCCTGAAAGATAAGAAGTTACTCTTTCTTCTTATATCTCAACTTAGTTACTCTTTATTCTCTCGCTATTTTTGTTGTTGGCGCGTTCCTGTTTGTAATGTTTGTTGTGTTTGTTGAGCAGCTATGAACAGTGTAGTGCCAGGCAGGGTATGCTTACTCTTCTAGACACCTGATACCACTTTACATTATGGAATACTTCCTCACTTGTGATTGATAAGCTTTCTCGTGTGAAAAGTGCATTTGCTGCTACCAATGTTTCAACAAAATGTTTTTTTTTACATTATTACCAATTCCAATTCTATGAAGATGGCACCCCAGGTCCTTCAATGGGCACACTAAAATTATCTTTATAATATTAAAGAAAAGATATATTGTTAAGCACTGGGAAACATACTGTAATAACCCAGTCCCTCTTTTTATTATGCCTTTAGTACTTGAAATTAAAACAGTTTGAGATTGAAATGTACTGGTTATTTTGAGATCGTTGAAAGAGTATCATCGAGTAACCTGGAATCGGCGTGATACGGTACAGTGATCTTTAACGAGCTGTCCTCGTCCATTGCTCGGCAGATCGTCTCTTCTGCTTTAAGATTTCCACTCCAACATCTTCTGGCGACCCCATTATTGACATCCCAACCTAACATCAGCTTGGCTCGTCTACCAGCATCCTAGAAACATATATAAATAATTGACACACTCAGTTGCAGAGGGGGTCCGGATGAAAGACGTTTCAGTACAGTGAAGCTCTCCAAAACTGCAACCTCCGCAAAAATTCTGGCCGACGTAAAAGGGTTTCATTGTATTAAAACCTTGTTTTTTTTCTTTCGAAACGACGGAAAGACGGAAATCGTGTCTTTAATTCTGATGTTGCGGAATTTGAGAGGTACCAAGGAGCCAGAAAGAAAGGAAGACGAGTCAGAAAATCTTACCTGTGAACCATCTAAAACCAATCCAAAGCCCCCATTGATGACTTCACCCCTGAAAAACAGTGGAATTCTCTTGAGTTGATCATGGTTCAGGAAGGTTCAATTTAAACATTGTCTAAAAATGCCCGATGAAACTAAGTTCTGGTTTTAACTCCTGGTGGTAAAGATAATAGAAGGCACCTCTCACCAGCGGTATCTGTTATTTTGATTCTAATAAGCAAAACTTGGTCGTTGATCTGAGCTAGCGTGATCTGCATCCATCCAAGTGATCGCAGTTGCTGATAGTCAGTGATGCTCTGAATCGCCAGTTGATCTGCTCGTCAAAACTTACCAGCCAACACCTCCTCCGTTGTGAATAGCAACCCAAGTAGCTCCTCTAAAACTGTCACCAATAACGTTCTGTATGGCCATATCTGAAATTGTAATAATTATGGTTGGTGATTTCGTGGAAAGCAAGCAGGAAAAGGGATAAATCATGTCTACCAGCTGGTCTTGAAAAGAGGAAGGGCTTCTCCACCTTGTACATGCCTAGGGTCGAATTAAAACATTCTGCTCGTCTCGATTGGTTAAATTTAAAGATTACCTGCGCATAATGACGATCCGTCTGTTATATTGGACGTTTCTCTGAACGGGCTATCTGTGCCACTGACGTCATGATGATCGCGACTTATAGCTATCGGTGCCTGAAAAACATGCTTTTATATAAATAAGACAATTTTCCAGAGTAAGGTGAGCTCTTCCCAGCCACGAAAACATGCAAGTTGGAACATTTCAATGTATTTTTCAATACCATCGTTGAAATGATGAAAACGGACGTTCACAAGAAGCAATGAATATTCGCTTTAAAGTAACACTTTTGTAAACGCCTGTCTCAGGTAGCTTCCAAGCGACACCCCTAACCATTTGTCCACGTATTGAAAGTTGAGCTGGAAGCTAACAAATAGAAGCTAACCACTAACCGAGATCTCGCCATCGGCTATAGCTTTATTAAAAGCTAAAGCTATGGCCTGTCGTCCTAGTTGATTTGAATACAATATACGGGCTTGGGACCCGACCACCATTTTGTGATTTCCGGCTTCTTTTATCCATCTGATATTATCAGTATATTGCTGCTTGGTTGACTCCGGTACTGTTAAATAGAAATAAAACAGTTTTAAATCCTACTGTTCTGTACCTTATTGGACTGATGAAATCCTACATCCTACTGTTAATTCGTTAAGAAATAGTAACATTAATCTAAATCAAACCTCCTTGTTTGATGATATCTTCTAAAACTGATGCAGCAATTTCATCGGACTTCTCTAGGTCGCTTGATAAACCGGAAGTACACACCCATCTGAAAAAGGGTGAATTTTATGATATTAAAAGTAACAATATTGATTCTCTTAGGTTCTCATGGACCCTGACCCAAGGAGAGTTGTTACTTGGACAAACATCTCCGCAATGATTTACTTTTCTGCACCATGTGGGCTAATGAAGACGGGCAGCGCCATGCAGGGCTCAATGAGGGAAATTTTGCCAGGATAGCGACATTAGCCTGCCCTTTATCGATTTCCAACTGTCGAGGTATCTGTACGTGTACAGACCGTAAAGACACCTGAATACAAGCTAGAGCTTTGTCAAAGCTAATTACAGGACAACGACTTAGGTTCCCAAGGACATCGTCAACTAAACACATTTTCAGATGAAGTATTACCTGAATGGCCCAAAACCTAGAGAGAAGATATCTCCCATTATATCCTGAACATACGAAGGATATCTGAAAGATGCACTGTTAACTCCTTCCTCACGACCAACATCCGCCCCTGAAATGTTAAATTTCATAGCAAAATAGATCTTGTCAGCTTTTAGCTATTGGAATATCTGTAAAAGCACCGGGTCTTCCAATTTCGCAATTAATCTTCATCGCATTAAGTAAAGTGTCTTCAGTGTCAATACGGAGAGGGTGTTTTCTCATCTTATTGGTATTGAGACTGAAAGATGCTTCTCGTTATCAACATTGTCCACGTATGGAAGGAAATTCTTCAAATATGGTTAAACCACTTACCAGCTCGACTAGCCTCTAATAAAAACGCATTACCGTAATCCCAGAAGAACATTCCTCGTGTTGCTAAACGATTTATAGCCGAAATATGGCGGCGTAAACTGAAAACGAAATGAACAAAGTCTCATGATAAATTATGACCATCCGTCCAAAATCAGGTCCAAAATATTCAAAGCACAGGCTACTAAAACTAAAACTAAAAGATAACACGCGTGTATATCATTAAAAGCTCACGGTACCGCTCCATCGTACGCCCCCTATCTATGATACAGTGCTTGTGTATGTCGTTATATAATCTTTAGATAGAATGAAGTCAATTTGGCAGCTCCAAGCCGCTTTTACCTTTCTTGGACCAAGTTCTTGAACCGGATAGGATCTGATGACATGACTTCTCTCGCGTCTTCATAGGATAACTACGAAAAAAATCATCATCAATACAAGATTGAAATAAATCAGACCTCAAAGGTCTAAAGAGTGCTTTAAAATTTGAGGTGTCGGAGTGCTTTGTGGTGTTGATCAAATGATGATCGCAATTGGAAAGACTTGCCATAATTCCAAAAGATGCTAGAAACGTTTCGATCTTTCTCCAGCCCCTACCTGAACAGGGTAATATCCTCCTAAAAATGGATTATGACAGGAGGTCTGGTCAGATCCCAAATCAACCAACAGTTCTCCAGTAGAATCATACTCATCGGCTAGTCTTTCCCTGAAACGCACAAAAATAGGATATTGATGGTGTACAGGATCGGGCAGTCAGCTCAGAATCTCAGTATCTCAGTCCTCACCAAATCAGACCTTCGTTACAGCAACACTTCAATGTTGACCTCATACATTTTTAGCGAGGCGGAGTTGATGCTAAAGCTAGTCCCCTCTCATCTTATTCGCGACACCAGATAAACATCATTAGTCACGCGGGCTCTCTGAAAGAGATGCCGGTCGAGGAACCTATTCTAAGAGTTGCATGAAGTGTTCCAAAATTAAATTGCCTATGCTATTAACTGTCAAACTTACCATAGATCAACCACATTACCATGATAGCCTATACTAGTAGGTGTTTTATTATGTCGATGGTGTTTTATCATCAACATACACTCATTAAGGTTATCTGTCACTTCTTGTAGCCAACCTTGGTTATATCTCTTGTATATAGCTTCCTTACTCACCTAAAGATTTCAAATTGATATGCCAACATTATAAGATATACGGAGTTTACAACACTTAAGTATGGACACTCTCTGAAAATCATATCAAGTTGACAAATCCAGTCTCACTCAGTATGGTACCGAGTATTCTGCAACAGCTATCGTGGTTGTCATTGGATCATCACTACCCGAGACACATGTAAAGCTTGGTGGAAAGGGATTTTGCAACTTACATTAGCAGGAAAAACACCCAGGATTTTAAGAACATAAGTGTAGATATCAAGACTACCTACTCCCACCACTGACATAAGCAGAAAATGGTTAAAACAGGGAATTGATGATTTCTTGGAACGCAGTTGATATAGTGATAGAGCAATTCACTTACCTCAGCTATAACTCCAACGCATCCTGATATAACAGCAGCTTTAGCTTGGGCACCACTCATACCACCTAAACCTGATGTAACAAACACCTTCCCTGACAGATCTCCGGTATTAAGGTGTTTCCTGGCAGCATTCAGGATAGTTAACTGGAATGAAAAAAAAACCAAGAAACATGCAACTATAACAACAATAAACTTTTAAGTTCAAGTGGATCGTTTACAGCTAGACAGCTGGGTTGGCTGTAGAACGTCTTTTTAGACCGGAGAATGTAGTTATTATGTTGTCTTATTTCGTGTCCGTGTTGTCCGATTTTGAAAAGAACCTGCTAAGGTACGGGACGTCAATCCTCTGATTTGAAAAGGAGACTAAGAGACTTACAGTTGTACCATGAACAATTCCTTGTGGTCCGATATAACAGTAACTTCCCGCTGTCATTTGACCATACCTATAACATAGTGGTTGAACATATACAGTACAACCTAATGATGATGCTGTAAGGCAACAATGTATTGACGCTGATTGAATGATTCAAAGGATTTGTAAAGCGGTTTTCTAATCAGCCTATATCATTGTGGTCTTTAGTATGCTAAAAGAAAGTTGCTTCCCTTACTGTGAGAAGGGTTAATTGCCTTTGTGTCACGTGACAGGAAGTGAGAAGTTGCCTATTAGTTTTAAATAAATTAGGTTTTATACTATAGACTATCAATTGCCAATCAAATCAGGTTTTAACCTATAGAACGTCCAACACAGTAAATAAAAGTACTCACATTGTGGTGCCAAGAGCAAACAGTTTATCATACAGGTCACGTGATGAGTAATTTGGTACCACCTGAAATTACAAGATACCGCCAGAGTTCAAATTAGTAAAAGGTGACCACGTTCCCTGGTTGAGGGACCATATCAGCGAGGCTCGGGAGAACTTGATAAAATGGTAAAATCAGTAAGACCTCACTGTAACCTGCATGTTGCTTGAATACGGTGAACGTAAAGAATACGGGGACGGTGACGTTAAAATGGTGGTGTGACTTACCATACCGTTGGTGATGACCACTCGGGGGGATTCGGGGGTACTGGGAAACAGGCCCATAGGGTGTCCGGAATACATCACAAGCGTCTGTTCTTCTGTCATTATGGACAGGTATCTCATCATCAGTAGAAACTGGAATAAAGAGGTACACTTTCAAATCAGCAGTTTTTCCATCGATCACACCCCATATTCCCGATAACACGAGCAGCTTACAGTTTTGTCGAGGGCTCTAGTCGTATTACATTGACAAACTTCCATGATACAAGAAAGGTGTTAAGTATTAGACGCAGTCACAACTGATAATGTAATAATGACTGAAAGAGTAGCAAGTGTTCAGAAAGAGGTTGCATGCCAATTCCGGTCCTGATAGACCTTAACAGAAAGGAGAAGACGCCAACCAACCTGAGCCCAATTGGAGAAGACCTGCCCATTTCCACCATAGGTTACTAGTTCTTGAGGAAACTGAGCAACATGGGGGTCGAGATTATTCATTATCATGTGCATTACAGCTGCTGCTTGTCTGGTTTGTGCTGGGTACTCGTTTATAGGATAGGCTCTAAAAAGACAATCAAACATATAGTGCTTTGAAAACTGAAAACCATCAGCGAACTTTTATGGCAATCTTTTCTCATTTGCTAACATTTGAGAGTTACCGTATTTCTAAAACCAGTTGTCTTTATGAGGATTGCATTTCTAACAGACGTGTTTGCAGCTTGAGCTTAGAGCATATCGAATAATAGACATAATGGAGATATTAAACTCATAAATAATTTGAATACCATCCACAAGAAAGATCCAGTTTAACTTCCAAAATGCCCAATCCCAGTGTGCAACAGGGCATGTCAAGTCGGTATCCTGAGTAATTTGAGCAAGAATTACGAAATATACCCCTACCTCATTTCAATATAAGGCCTGAATCTATACATATAAATATGCCCATATTGGTTCAGCTCTTCCAGGAATTCCGGTGCCAGAACTTCATGCACTTCCGGTGGAAAATATCTCAAGGAATTTTCTAGAGCGAGCTGAAAGATGTGGCGTCAAACTGGACATTAACTGAAAGTATTGCCTTACAACTTGATAGTCTTTTGTTAATCAAAGACGATATGCGAATGTAAACGTAATTTGTCGAAACGTTGTGTTTACTATGTTAACAATGAACCTTTAATTAAGCATACGTATTATAGACTACACGTATATCAACATAGAAACCAAAGATGTCGAAGCAATATTATGTCTGATCTTTTACACGTAAAATGTTCTTGCGGATAGAAAGTATCCTTTTACTCGTAATTGACCGAAACGATGTATGTAATACTACGACATCATCAACATTAGCTGAAATTGTAATAATGAATTCTCCCTTACCCTCTGTTCTCCTTGGGTGAGGCCGGGGTTCAGTACTGGTGCATGTGGTACAGACTCATCCCTCGGTTTCTGAAGTGGTAAGGGATTCAACGGTAATCCATCACAAACTTCCTTTAACGTCGACATTTTTAACTATTTTAAACTACAATAAGGACTATGTTCAATATGGTCATTTTCAGATAGTCTCGATCGACCGATCAAAACTGTCCTGAGACAGTCTAAGGCTTGACAGGATTATCAGGCCTTCAGTTGCAATGAGATTTGCTTGCAGTCTTCGAGTTTGTTCTCACCATGACATGGACCTTGTTACAGAACGGTCTATTGAGTAGGTAAAGCGCTAACTGGAAAAAGAAGCTTACATTCATTCGCTTACCCTTTTGTGAGAGTGGCCCAACAACAGTCTAGATAAGTGAGACTATAATTGTTGCCATCTCGGCCTATTCTGGAATTAAATCCTGGATCTTCAGGTCAACGAGCAAACCCACACTCACTGAGCCACAGCGGCTCCCCTATCTAATTTTGATGGACAATACTGTGACCCAAAGCCAACAGCAGTCTAGTGAAGTAAGACTATAGTTGTTGATAAGGTTGTTTACTATTTATGTATGATTCACAACTGATAAACATTGTATAAACAGTTTAATTCTTATTGTAGATAAACTTCTAATGACCAGCTGATAAAATTATAAGGGATATCATCATTTAAATATTGGCTTTTTAATGGGATATGACCGTCTAAATATTCAATTTACCAGCTGATAGGGCTTTAAGGGATATAGCCATCTAAGTACAAACAAAAACATCCTCCATGCACCGACATCTCTAAACCGGCATATCTAATTTACCAGCTGATAAAACTTACGGGGATATAGTCGTCTTAATATTTACTAGCTGAAGGAAATTAAAGGCATGTTTTCGTCTAAATATTGGCTTTACCAGCTGATAGATCTTCAAAGGATAATGTGGCCTATATATTACCTTTACAAGCTGAAAAAACTTAAAACCGTTCTTTTTGTCTAAATAATCAATTTACCATCTTATAGAGCTTAAAGGCATAGAGTCATCTAACTTTTTGTTCCATCATCTGATAGAGCTCGATTTCAGTAAACTCTACCACTTTCAATAATTTACATGCTTTAGGGTAAATAAAAGGGCTTTACTACCGACCCAATAGCTATCTTGGCTTCTGCCCGTAGTCAGACTTGATTGTTCGGAGGGGCAAATAATATATCTGGAGGGGCAAGTAATATATCTGGAGGGACAAGTAATATATCCCGACGGACAAGTAATATATCTGGAGGGGCAAGGGAGCATGGTGTTTAGTTGCAGTGATGATATCGGTCGGTTGAGGAGGACCCCTCCCCCATTCTTGCCCCCCTTTAGCTACGGGTCGGGGTAAATACTGCGTATTAGATATTATATCGCAATAATCCTCCAGAATAGACAACTACATAATAATGAAAGGTTTCCATAGATACAGAATTCCATATACTCTACTTAGTTCTACAATTATATCTGATAACGGTCGAGTTTCCACAGGCGTGAATTAAATGGAAATATTCGTCTAAATACATTTTCTTTATCAGCAACCCGTGTGTATCGCTTTTAACAATTACAATCAAACGTTCGATCTCTGACACAAATTTCCCTCGTTGCGCACTGCACAAGAAGAGCATAAAATAAGTCTTATAATTGAAATTAAAAGAACACAACCTTATATGTAATTTTCGGTTAACCGTTTGACTTTTTAGAATGAAAATTCGACCCCATGTCCATCTGCAATAGAATAAAAGTCTATAGGAATGTCATCACAATATCAAACCGATGTCACATCGAAGACAACGATAAATATACATATGCATAAATGTATTAGAATATCAAGCTGTTGGATCAAAGGCTTAAAATTAATGTCGGATAAACTCATATGCCTTTCATTAATCATACTGAACCAATATCTTCGTATTCTCGACTCAAGATTTGTGAAAATCGTTCATGAAAATGTGTTCAAACATAAAAGTGAATTGTTAGAAACGATCGGTGATGATTGTTTAAAATTAACAGAATTAGTCAACGTTGATAATATAACGTGTTAGTTTGATATACTAGAGTAACACAATTACAGAAGGAAATATAACCTTGTTATAATAATTAAAAACTTAGTTAATTGCCGAGCTGTTAGATTTTAATGAGGCAAACCGATACTGTGAGAAATTGGAGAAAATATTGTCAATTTAATGAGCGAGAAAGGTGGAATTTCACATTTTTATTCCGAATGCAATCACTGTACAGTCTACTTGGAATAAGGTAAGAAGATTATATATTTCTTTCAAATATAGAAAGATATCGCGATAGTCAAAATTTCTTCCATTGTACACCGTGAAGCGTTATCAGTCCCACACAGTGCTGCCTGTACATCTGTACGTATGAAATATTTATTATGATAATGATGACAAATCGAGAAATTGACCTCGTTGTGCACTAATTGCATTGTAGGGGTTGTAGGTTAAACTCTTCTACATTTGAACAAAATTCGACTAATTTTCCCTCATTACACTTTGTGATATATTGTCCGTCGTCATTGATGCATTGCAGTTGCTGGAAATCACCACTATAGCAGAAACTAGTAGGAAACACAAGTCGCCCCATTGCTTACTGTTCGTTTTAAATAGGTCCATAAGTTAATGAGAAAAATTTCAAACTATTTTGACGTAAAACTCCACTTCATTTGATAAAATGTGCCCAGCCAATCCAGGATATAATTTCTAAATGAAGTATTCCTTCCGTCCCTGGCCTGTACATTCGGGAAAGACTAGCCACAATTCATAAAAATATCAATCCAGTTTCTGTACAGCATCTTACCTGGATTGTAAGAAGACAATTCAATCTATTTACAGAGTGTATACCAATGTGCTGCAATGATAAAGATATTGATAATAATACTGTCTTGTATATTTTGTTGTTACATGAAACCGTTTCGAGGCTACCAAACCGACGATGACGGTAAGTATTATAGAAGGGAAGGGGTATGCGGGGGAGCTGAAACGGGTGGGGGTACGTTGTTTTGTTTAATCGTAATACATATTATTGGATTATTGGTCACAAGGAGAAGGATATTTGGCTACATCACAGTCTTTTAGTTCGTAAAATCCATTTTATTTCATAACGTTCAGAGAACTAGGACATATAAAACTTCATTTCGTTTCATTAGTTCAAGAAGACACAGAACAGTAGGATATTGTTTTCCCCATTCCAGGCTATATAAAGACGTGTCACTGTGTAGAAGGCTGTAATGATGATCTCTCCTGTCTGTCCGGTGGATGTGAGAAAGGATGGTCTGGAAAATACTGTCAAAGAGGTTCGTTATTTTGCTCAAACTATGAGGACGGTGTTGGTAGGCGGGGTGCGTCGGTTGATGGTTGGATATGGTTGGATGAGGTTAATGTAGGGGTTGGACATGGTTTGCAAGCCAAACTATTGTAGTCCGCGTTTTGCTGGTCTAGCCTCTGATATATTGGCGCTCATCATCTAAACTAATCTTCAAATCCAAGTACAAAAGCTTATTTGTGTTTTTAAACTCGAGTACAATAATCACCGAGAAGCAAGAATGACAACATTGTATCATGTTCGTAAACGATTCATTACCTCCTGTTTCAAACACTAGATGTCCTGATGCAGACTGTGTGTCGGAAACACACACGAGATGAGCTCGAGTTGATTATATATTCATTTAGCTCCTGTGATTTGTTACAGAAAGGATTGGAAGAGAAGGCGATGACCTGGACGATGGGTAAGGCGTACTTTGGGTATAAATTATGACCAAGATTGTCCAAAACAGCTCCTTGTCACTAGAGCTCCTATTCAATAATATAAGATCTTCAAGATGCCACACCTGGGACAAATTATGACCAAAACTTGTGACCCATTTGTGTGAGATACCACTTTATAAACTTTAAAGGGAAAATTCTGCTATCACAGCTCACCATCGAAATTTGTCCCTTTAAGTAATGCTTATGGTTTTTGATTCTGGATCTGTAAGGCTTGAACCTGGGTTGTTCTTCACGAATCAACAACACGATCAGCCTAATCAAAGTTCTCCACTACCATACATCATCATCTAATGGTGAATAAGACGTAAAATTCCGACTCTTTATCTTTCTCAGGGATTCAAGCCGAGATTGTCTTGAGATGGAATCCTCTGATCAGAGATCTGACTTGAAGATCGAACTGCAATCTGATACCACGACACAGCTTTCTGTTATTGAATTCCATCTTCCAGACACAGACAGTAAGTCATCTTAATCATTTTAAAGGGATACAGTACTCTAATGAAATTAAAGGGAAGCGTTCGTCTAAGTATGTATGCTCCTCGGCTGATGTAGCTCAATTTCATTTCGTCGGAGTCCTTTTCACCAAGTGTAAAAATGAACTATTATTAGATTGGTTGGGATGAACTGTGAGTACTTACATATCTTCACAGATTAGATTAAATTGCACTATTACTTCCGGTGTGCAGGGGGTGCTCACTTGTATATTTGACTATATTGCTTACTTCTTCAATTTCCGCCAGTAACAAATTACTTTCGATTACTGATTACAATAAATAAATCAAGTACTAACGATCCGCACTGCAAAACTCGAAATCCAAAACCACATTTTCACATGAGGAAGTATATCAATCATAATTGAGTAAGAATTTCATAAGTGGTATAAGAGAGTAAATAAAGCTATTGTTTTCAGCTCTATATTAATCCAGTCTCCTTCAGTCTCAAACTGTTAATAGAACGACATATCGTCTAACATTGAACTGTTCACTCTTCTACGTTTCTGGACAGTTACACCTGACTGTCTTGATGGCTAAACGGATATGACTACGGAATTGGTTCAATCTGACTATTGGTTGTTTTTGCAGAAGAAGCCTTGCTGGACCTGGAAATCTACGTTGGTAATCATCTATGTTATAAACATGATGAAACTACAGTATTAGACGAGAAGAATACTGTAACCTGTCTAAAAGATCTGGCTTTGGGAAACATTACTTTTAGCATACCACTAACGGCTAGCAGCCTGGTCAACATCTGTAATGTGAAAGCGTATGGTGAGTACAGCTGCATTTTCACAAAACCTTAAGTTTAGTTGTCTAATTGTTTTAATAAATATAATAATGAGAGTAGCGAATGATCCTATTTTATAGCCTAATTTTATCACCCCAGGTTGTGCAGAAGGGACGTTCGGGACTCATTGTGAGAAAACATGCAACTGTTGGACACATCATGATGTATGTGACGGTGCAACAGGCAGGTGTGATTTCGGTTGTGCTGGCGGCTTTTATCTCCCGGATTGTGATATACGTAAGTAGTCTAACACATACTAAACAACATATGGTTCTTACGTGGAAATAACGCACACTAACGCAGTTCACAGCCATTTTGAATCTCTTCCTCGGCGTAATAAGTCGTTAGTAGGTGTTATAATCGCATTTTCAAAGGCAGACTACGTGATGATGTACTTCTTGATTGATGTGTCGAGTCCCTCAGTTCACGCCCTACTCCCTCTTTTGACAGCTAGCTTCGGGTCTGGTAAAGACTACAAAACGATGATGCTTATCCTGTCTTTATTAATAGCCTGTGAAGCTGGATATTATGGGTTGGATTGTATTAAAGAATGTGGACATTGTGCCAACGGGACGTGTGATCGTGAAACTGGAAAGTGTGACGACTCGGGCTGTTTGCCATATTGGACTGGATATCATTGCGATTGTAAGTCATCAGGTATTCTTCCATCACCACAGTTTGCAGTTCACTCCCTTTGATTGAAATTACCTTCCTTGCTCCCCGACCTTAATCTGCATGCTTCAATAATTGAGTTCAAACTAGTTCATCATGATATAAGATACGTCAAATCAATGCCAAGATGACAACAGATCAAACCCGGTCGTTTGGGCGAAGCTTTAGACACAATGCCGGACTTGTTTTGTTAATCATACCAACAGTAATTTTTCTTTGTGAAGAGCTAATATGAGGGGAAGTAACTTTTGATATATAGTGCTTCAGACTACAATTGTACAATTGTGTTCAATGTCATAGTCAATTTGTTTGTCGATCTAGATTGTATCAACAACTATTATGGGCCGAACTGTACCTCTCTATGTGGAAATTGTCTGTTTGGGGAAATGTGTGAAGTCACTTCCGGTGAATGTTTTGAAGGGTGTGAACCAGGCTACAAAGGTTCAAAGTGTCAAGAAGGTAACGTGTTAATAATCAAATCTGGCAACTGCAATCCAATCTGCCCCACCCCTACCCTGAGTTAAAACATCCCGACCCACCCTCTTCGTTTGTTTAGAATTCTAAAGTAAGCCTCATATATACATATTAACAAGAAAAACATCCCCATCTATAAACTGAAACTTTCCGTTCCCAGCCTCCTTCAGACCTTCAAAGAGAAATATTGCTCTTAATGATTTGAAGGAACTTTTTCATTTCTAGAATGTGCTTCGTTTACTTATGGACCAGGTTGCACGAAGACGTGTGGGAACTGTTCTGCTGGTGAAACATGCGATAGCAATACTGGTGTTTGTAATTCAGGATGTATGGACGGTTACATCGGACCATTATGTCAGACACGTAAGTGAAAGGGATAGAGAAACTCATTAACCGTAAGCTAAAAGTCGAAAGAGTCGAGGGAATAGAAGAAAGTGTTGGTAAATGTGGGAATTTACGGGTTAGCATAAGAAGTAGTTCCGATACTTTACTTGTTCTGGTAAAAAATCCACTTATTGCCCACTGCATGACGTTGCCCGGCACTATTGGATCAACTAAGTGCAGAATAGTAGGACATAAACCATTTCAATGTATCGTTCTCGTTCCAGTTGATGCTATATGGTCTCAGACTAACATAATTATACTCAGTGTCTGCATGTTTCTCACATTTTTACTGGCTTGTGCAACCATTGTATTAATCTTAGCAAGGTAAGTGACGAACTTATCATACTAGTGTAAATCACACGCCTTTCAAGGGCTTGTTGCCCCCAAATGTACAGGCATAGGATATCACTAAGAAAATGGAATAAGCGACCTATGTAATGGATACGGATTAGCCAGTTTGAAAGGAGCTAAAAATATCCAAGGGCTTTTGCAATTATTGCGTCATAAAACAATAAGAGGAATTGCAAGACCTAAAAACGTCTGATTGAACATTGGAATAGTTCAAATCAATGATATCAGTGTCCTCGATATACATAAAACGTTTAGAAAACCTCTTTACATTCTTTGTTGCAGAAGAAAGAAGAAGCTTCTGGTGAAAACTGGCAGAGAGAACAATGGGTTTGATGATTGGAACCAGAATTCGGGATTTGGTAAGTGACGCTAGCACATAAATGATATATAACTTTAGGACCAGGCGTAAGAACATCAAAAACTCAATGTGAAAGTAATCCACTGGTGCTCTAAAATATGTAGCAGTGGTTTTCTGGGTAGAATGACATATAAGCTCATATTAGCAGGATGGAAAATGAAATGAAATAAATGGAGTTTTACGTCCTACTCTTAGCAGAATGGAGTAAAACTTCATGTCCATGTTGTCAATCTAATATGGTACATCGCGGTAGAACACAAACCGCAATATCATCCAATGGTGTCCAGAACCATAAGATATAAACTTCAATTATATCTTTAAATGAATTCATTTAGAATAAAATTATTTCAGATTCCGACGAAGATGAAAATGGCGAGATTAAGAATACAGATATTTCTATTGTAGATTTAAAATTCTATATTGATAGAAGAATGGCACGTGACGAATTCATTATAGAATTTAGGGTAAGAAATGGGGGGGGGGGGGGTACCTGCCCAAATAATAAACCTCTTTGTTCTTATTTAGGGCCAAGGCCCCGTGTGCTACAGGCTGTGCACGTTAAAGATCCCTCGACAGTTGGAAATCGAAAAAGAACAGGTTAATGCCACTGTCCTGGCAAAATTTCCCTCATTGCACCCTGCATGGCGTTGCCCGTCTTCATTAGCCCATATGGTGCAGAAAAGTAGGACGTAAAACTACATTCATTTCATTTCATTTCTTATTTATGGGTCCAGTCAGTAGCGTTTCTACGGGCTTTGGCTTTAAGCCCGACCAAAGTTTCAAATATCTTACCATTGATTTCTTACATTCATGGTGCTAAGGGTCTCCTTGGCAAGGCCATGGTCCCTGAACGACCCCTTCACCTAACGATTCATAGCAACACCATTGGTGGGCCCCAAAGACTAGAAAACGATTGTAAAAATACACTACAATTTGGAAAATCTCTTTCACTGTTAAAAACCAGTTCATTTCTATTTATAGAAACTGCCCAATGGTTCAAATGTCAAACATCTTCAAGCAAGTACTGGAGATAACAAATCCAAGAACAGATTTCTATCCATCTATCCTTGTAAGTATTTTAAAATCTAAGCCTTTTTCTCCCCAAAATTCAGAATTCAAAAAAGACAATACGTCTTGGGTCAGAGGTGTGACCTTTTGAATGAAAATGTACATGGAGAATCATCACATGACATGAAATTGAAAACAGCCTGTTTCACACATCCAATATTCAAATCAACAATTAGTAATTAGGACAGTCGATTCGGATATGAAATTGACTATGTTTGTCAACTCGACATTCATTTTAGAGAATCCACATAGCTAATAATATTTATTTGGTATAATGATTATTTGAAGGAACTTCTCTTTCAGACGATCATTCCCGAGTTAAGTTGCCAACAGACGAGGAAGATGTTTCGGACTATATTAACGCTAACTACATCGATGTAAGTTTCTTTATGTCATTTTGTCACCATTAAATCGAGTAGACTAAAAAGAAGGTAAAAAAGACACAAGTGTGTTCAATTCAATGATGTTTATGAGGCCAGAATAACTGTAAGTGTGGCTTGTTTAGGATCTCCCGTTCTCGTTAGCACAATCATTGGCAGTAGGATGTAAAACTCAATTCAACATTTTATCCTTGTTTTATTTTCATCTTAATGTTCTTTTTGTCTTATTGTAATTTTCAAATCTACTGAACAATATGGTGTCCATTGCGTTATATTTTGATAGTATCAAGAGAGTATCAAGATAGCAAATTTCCCCCAAGACGAATTAAGTATTAATTTGGAAATAACCCGACACAATGTGTTTGATTAAATTGGTTTATTACAGGGTTACGACGAGAAAAACAAGTATATAGCTACTCAAGGTATTTAATTAATGTATACTTCTTCATGAGTAAACACCTGATACCATTTTGCTCGTTGCGTTTCAGTTAATCGGTTGGTCTGCTTCTTATTAAAAAAGTTAAAAACAGTTTAATACATAATATAAACACTGTTGAGATATCGATGTGGATTACCGAAAAGAAAACAGACTTGACATAGATAGTATAAGCTGCAGAGTGACATTAGATGTTTAGGAGGAGTGAGAATCTCTGTGGTGAGGCTCACTTTAAAGAAAAATATTGAATATGTTCCAGGACGTTGACAAATTGCTATACTTCGACAAATGGACATGCATCAGACTACAATATAGCTCATTTGTATTTATGGGTACCTGTCGGTTTTCTCCTTTGTGACATTTTTCTGATATTGTAGGTCCCATGCCTACCACTATCGACGATTTCTGGCGAATGGTTTGGAGTGAAAACTGTGGAAAGATCGTGATGCTGACAAATGTCCTAGAAAATGCGAAGGTAAGAATTAAACTGTGATATTCCTACTTGAGGTCTTCTAAGATCTGCTAGTGGATGGAAGTCAAGACCATTTGAACGATTCGAATTCGAAACCACAGCCTCGGATAATTCCACAATGCATTGGCCGTGGCATGAAGAGGATTCGCAACCACGGAAAAGGAGGCAGTAATCCTAATCTATATCAACTGGGTGTTTCTAGCCCGACAGCGAACTTGCAATTATGTTCGATCTAAGCACCCAGTTGCTGCTAACCATATAACTTTATGGTTCACATTCTCTTCGATAATCTTTTGTATTTTCATGTGCTTGTTAATAATCTGTTGTAATTTCAGATCAAATGTCATCAGTACTGGCCTAACGAACCAGAAAACGTGTTGACATCAAGACATCTAGAAATCCGAGTTGAGAAATCACTACATAGATCTAACTATGTTCTTAGAGAATTCAAGCTGAAGCAAACCAAGGTACGGTATCTGTTTTGGTAAACGATGATGTTGGCGAAGAGTCAATTACGTATTTGTCGTAGGACCTCTTCCGGTGGTCCAAACATCAGTCCGCCTCTACTTGTTTCCCAACGTATACGGAATGACAACACAAATCAAATAAAAAGTTCTCTATCCTTTTGCACCTTATTGGAATAGCAACGAAAGCTAATACACCAATTGCTAGAATAGTCACATTAGTCTAATCACGACCTTGAACTTCATTGGCATTCCAAAGGGGACAGACCCATCTCTGTCCCAACGTGAAAGAAATTAACAACTAATTGGTGTATGTTTCAGACTAACGAAGAGAGAACAGTGTTACATTTCCATTACGTGACCTGGCCTGATCATGGTGTACCATCAGCACCTTGTTTAATCGCCTTCTGGAAAGCTGTCAACCGTACCCCAGTGTCTCTAAACGGTCCTATGATTGTACACTGCAGGTAAATCATTCACTTAACACCCGAAACACAAATATTTTGAGCAAAGTGGACTTTCACTTTACACCAGCCAAATACAGCATTTTTAGCTGCTTGGTCTTTGGTTGCTGAAGTTCACAGCATAAAAACCAAACGATGTAGAATTTCCTATGGAGATGCTGCGTTGAACCCTAATAACCATAATTTGCAATGATGACATTGTGAAGGGGGCGCTTTGGTGACAAACCTAGTGGAAGGGTGGTACCGGGTGCAGAAATTGATTTGGAACAGTCTATAGCCTACATGATAACTTTTGTTACAGTAGACTTTTTGTGCAAGAGGGCTGAATTTGTTAATGACAAAAATTGATTTTTACGCTTTTGCTCTGTTTAGTGCTGGTGTTGGAAGAACTGGAACTTTCCTTGGGCTGGATGTATTGGTATCAGAAGCTACCGACAGAGAAAAAGTGGACATATTTAAATGTGTTTCTAACTTAAGAAGGAACAGAGTCAATATGATCCAAACTAGGGTAATGACTTTATCTATGAGTTATCAAAGGTTTTAAGAAGCGGGTTTTTTGACCAATCCTTTTGGTAATGATCTTATATGATACACAGACATCTGTTATTTTACAAGAATAACAATTACGGTGCTCAAGGATATCGACTATTAACTTGATCTTGAACAAACCTCGTTAATAGGATCCGATATCAAAACAACTTGAGACCCTTTCTACCAGGTGGCCCTTGACCAAACCTCTAATTTATGATCTTACAATGAAAACAACATAGTATCTGTCTTGCAACTGGGATGGTCCTCCTCACCCCAAGGAGTCTACACAAAGAATCTTTCCTTAAAGCCACCTACTTTTGAAACAATCCATGTATACATTCACTAGGAGCAGTATGTCTTCCTACATTATGTAGTCCACGAAGCCCTCCTGGCCAAGAAATCACTGCTGACCCTGAACGAGTTGGCGAAAGGAAGGAAGATTGGAGAACTGGTACCAGCCAAGAATAAAAAACGGGAATATACGGTTGGTTATAGTTCTTAGAGCGACTCCAAAGAGGTTTCCCAGAGTCTCGAGTATGGGGTAACATACTTCTATCTACACCATACAGATATCCAATCTAACGTGGTGTTTGTTGAATATAAGGCATCAAAAGATGTTTTCTTGCCTTTGCATGAGTACGGGGTAACATAGTTCTTCTATTTGTAACAATTACTAATTCCCTCCAAACATAGTAGGTTTGTTTGGCAAAGACGAGACAACAGGCAAGCATGCAACGGAGGTTCATTGTATGTGTATGAGGGTAACATGTTTATTCTATTTGGTTTATTCATTTGCGAAGACGAGAAGACAAGACTACAAAGTAGTCGCAAAGACACGATTCGCATTTGGATCAGGCCACTTCAGTGCATCCTTCACACCAAGAATTCATCAGAAGACACTGTATTTTCAGAATATCGAACTAATGAGGAAACAGATCTCTGTGATGAAGACCCAGGCTGGTCGTGATAAACAGAATCTAATGAAGAACAGATCCTCCACCATCATACCCCGTGAGTTGACTTCAGTATGGACATTACGCTGCCACTTTGGCTCATCAAGTAGCGACCTAGTGGAGAATCTACGGTGGGGTGGGAGCGGTATTAGGGGGTGATAATTACCGTTGACAATTCTGAAACTTAGTAACATTCTTAAATTAAAGAAAAAAGTCTAGATTTTTTCTTCAGAAATAAGGTTTTGGCTATAAAATCAATGTTCCTAGGCCCTTTTATTTACAGATGACGCCCATCGAGTATTTTTAGTTACAAATGTAGAGAATAGAAACGACTATATCATGGCGTACTTGGTTCCGGTAAGTTTGAGTTTCAGGTACCACTCATACTTACTAGACGCTGATCACAATAAGATCAAACAATACACGAGAACAAAACTACGTAAAATTCCATCACTTGAAAAGTCAATGGAGATACAGGAGTATACAAAACAACGAGATGCACAACTACTTTCCGATGTTTCCGACATCAAAACTACTTTTCATTAACTCAAAGAGTTGCAGCAAGTCCACAATGCCACACATGCAAATCATAAGGTCACCACCAATACATATTCCAACAACACCCATCATAAGGTTGTCATCTCAAGTTATTTCTGTTCCATTACAGTCTTTGTATAAACGAGACGGGTTCATATCGACCCAGCTACCACTGGAGTCCACAGTGGTGGATTTCTGGAGAATGGTGTACGAGTATAACTGTCTTACTATTGTCTCCTTAGTTAATAACATATCTTCAGATAGAGAGGTAGGATCTGTTTTGGATCTTCAGCACATTGGTAAGAGGTATAGGGCTGATCAGGGTAGGGATGTGGGGTATTGGGGGTCATACTATCAATGAGACAAAAGAAGGGTGCTCATTTAAACCTATCCTCAATTGGCGAGGCAAGACAATTATTTCCATTTTCAACCAATTGGTCATCGGGTCAAGACGAAAAGAAGGGTGTAAAACTCCCATATCTGGATAATTTACACCCAGAAAAGAAAGCAAGGGGTCCTACTAGGGAGGCAAGGGTGTTCAATCAATTTCAGGACTCCAGTTGAAGTTTAACAGGGGTTTTTGTTTGGATTTTCTTTCAGGCCGCTGTCTCATATTGGCCCCGGAATTCTGAGGTAAAGACAGAAGCTGGACCGTTTACAGTCCGATATAAAAACAAACTGACTGGGAACTCGTTCTACAAACATTCTGTCTTGGAAGTGGAGAAGACCGATGCGGTAAGGATGGTGTTTTATTTTCTTGACGTGTCACAGCAGGCAGCAGTAAAAGCTTCGAAGAGAGAGAGGAGGAGAGGGGGATGCCCCAGCGTTGGGTTTCAAATTTCTTATCATTTCACATAGAGAAAAATTGCTTCTGATCTGCTCTTGATAATTCTGTGGCCTCCACTAGACCTCTCACCAAATGATTCATAGAAACTATACTGACTCTAGAATATTGTTCGACTTCTGTTACCCTCGTACGTAAAACTATCCCCAATAGTTTCAAGCACCCTTTTTTCAGCCGGACCCGTCGCTGCGGTCGACAGTCCATATGTTCAGTGTAACAGACTGGTCTATAGAGACTCTGGTACCGGATAAGACGGGCATGCTCAATCTGATCGGCGCTGTGGGGGCCAGGCAAATAGAAGAGGGTCGTCACACCATCGTCGTTCAAGATTTGTAAGTTGTTTTTTTTTAAATTAGATACTTGATCTTTGTATCAAGTGACCCGTATTTCTGGATCGGTTTTTATTAACCGAATCAGGTGCAGAACCGTAGGGTCGTAGAATTCCCCCTTCTGTCGCTTTCGTTCGTTCTTCATTAGTCAATCAGTTGCTACAGCAACGGCTCTGTCTTCTTTAGCCCAATAAGATACAGAACTGTAAGACATAAAACTCCATTTAATTTCATCAGTCCAATAAGGAACAGAACAGAAGGATATAAAACACCATTACATTTCATTTTCAGTGACGGTGCGAGTAAATGTAATGTATTCTGTGCCGTTATGAACTGTCTAAACAGACTCAAGGATGATAAAGTATTAGATGTATTCCTGGCAGTCCGAGAGATCATGACCATACAACCCAACTGTTTTCAAGATACGGTAAGTTACGTTTACGTTTCATTTGGGGTATAACAGACATTACAATTAATTTCATTTCATTTAATGACGAGACTGAGAACTGTAGGACAAACCCCAAAAAGTGTTCAGAACTGTAGGAAATTTAAGAACCTCCATTTTATTTCATTAGTCCAATAAGATACAGAACACTAGCATATAAAACTCCATTTCATTTCATTAGTCCAATAAGCTACAGAACAGTAGGATATAAAACTTCATTTCATTAGTCCAATAAGATACAGAACAGTAGGATATAAAACTCCATTTCAATTCATTAGTCCAATAAGATACAGAACAGTAGGATATAAAACTCCATTTCAATTCATTAGTCCAATAAGATACAGAACAGTAGGATATAAAACTCCATTTCAATTCATTAGTCCAATAAGATACAGAACAGTAGGATATAAAACTCTACATCATTTCATTAGTCCAATAAGATCAAGAACAGTATGATATAAAACTCTATTTCATTTCATTAGTCCAATAAGATACAGAACAGTAGAATATAAAACTCTATTTCATTTCAGAAGGAGTACAGTTTTTGTTATGAAATGGTCAAAGAACATTTGGATATAGAGTTCATCAAAAAAAATCTCAGTTAATCTTTTAACTTTGTGGTAGTGGCTTTTATGGAGTGCTATATATGTTTGTATCATTGTAAACTATTATGTGTTTTGTGTTTGTGTGTGGAATTTTATAAGGCGGAAGGGAGTGTTTGCAAATGTCGTTGTAACAGTTTTATACTTAGCCAAATAAAAGGTTATTTTATGAAAAATTGAAACACAAAAAAAAGGTTTTTTTCACGAATGTTAAATTTCCAAAAAAGATTTCTGGAAACAAATTAAAACAGAGACATAGTTTAAATGTTTCGTTTCGTTTTATTTAGTTAAGATTTCAACCTTATAAAATAATAACGAAACGAAATACGTACATGAACAGTACGGAGAGAGGTAAAACTAGTCTGAAAGAAGAAGGTTGTCAAGTATTATAACTATGTATCACTAACTGTTTTATATATAACCTAATAATTGGTTATTTTAAAACATACTAGATGAATAAGTTATTCAAATTGTTTGAAAGGGAAGCAAAAAAAAATATATTTGCCATATGAAATGGTAGTGCGAGTATTCGAGACTACTACACGTCTTTTTCAACTTAATGTTTTATATATAACCTGAATTGGTTATTTTAAACGTCATAGAATTCAAATTTAATGTACGATGTTATGTATATGTAAGACGTCTACATATCAATGCGAGTGCACCAAGACCGTATAATACGAGTCACTCGTAAACGAACCCTTTGTTTACATAACGATTATCGAAGCATAATACGTCTATATAATGATCAGTCAAGGTATAAGACACAGATCGTTGTGAAGATGATATTTGAGTGCTTAGCTATATTTATATTTGTTATTATTTATTTGAATTGTAAACATATTGTATATGCTGTGTTGTTGATTTTATATTTGTATATTTTATTGTGATAATAAATTTTACTTACGTTATAATCAGTATTTTGAGGGGATTGGAAGGAAGAGAAGGGAGGGGGTGGGGGTGGGGGTGGGTGTGGGACGGTTTTAATCAACCATCGTCTTCGAAAAATGAATGGACAAAATCACAAAATAACGTCATAAGAAATACGATCCCTTGACAGATGGAAAAAGGGTACCGTTGTCTTGGCAAAATTTCCCTCATTGTACACTGCATAGGATTGCCCGTCTTCATTAGCCCAATCAGATGAAGAAAAGTAAAGGGTACAAGCATTTCATTTCCGGGTTTACATGATTAACATTGAAGATCTAGGTATTTCTGTAATGTGGACGGTATCTCCAGGTTTTCTATACCGTCCTGTAACTGGTCATTCTCAATCAGTCTAAGTCTGATCCAACACCTCGCCATATGTTTCAACGGCGCCACACCACCCATCGTCCATTTTGGAACGAAATTACAAACGTCACTTTTCACGTAATAAGCATGCGCAGCTTTGTTACCTATAGTTTCCATCTCCGTTTTGAAATGAACGTAACACAATGTCCGTAAGCAGTAGTTCAGACAATCCGCAAGCATAACAATGGGTGCGGAATATTTCGTTGCTCCACCAGGAAAGATGTTAATAGTTCCAAGCGTCCGGAGTAAGTATCGTAATGGTGGTCCTTCCGCAGACGCGCCATGCCTTAGCAACATTAATACCACTTCCGGTTTGATGTTCATTATGGCTAGCAGTAATGATGAAACTTGCAGACTCGCAGTTAATGGTTGGTGGATCATCATTGGTTGAAGATGAGCATGCGCAATCGGCAGATCTAAAAATTGACATTTTTCTCGATCCAAGAGTTCTGCCCAAACTGCACGACCAGTTCCATCGAATAGAGATTTCCGTATCTGTTCGTCCCTGAGATTGATGGACATCCCAGCCGAATATTTTAGAAAATACATCGACTTGTCCATTGAAAGGGAAGTAGAAGTCTGTGACAAATTTATGACAGACGACACACTGGGTTGTCGAAATCCTTCCAAGAGATCACGAAGATATATCCCATAATCCACTCCATGGCTGAACGGAAGTAGAGTCACTAAAATATCCCGGACTAGACCCTTATCGTCAACTCTGTACTTGAAACATAATCCTAGTGTCATGTGAAGGGTGAGCCACGAAAAGTAACGGCTCTCGGAGTCCTTGGCGTTGACGATAGAAAACTGAATGGAGTCCTCGATTGCTTGCTGGAGCGTCACTGTTCCATTGTCGATCATGTCGCACAAACCATCTCCAATATGCTCACACAGTTCTTCGCAACTTCCAAATTTGACTTTCGTTTGTCGTCGCAAACCTTCGAACACATTTTTCCGCAGTTTCAGATACGCCGAAATTCTCTGCATGTTTTTCTATTTATGTACGTCACGGCGCTAATACGTAATGCATAGCAACGGTAGTGGAATAGTGTGCGAACTGCATAATGAGTCGCGATAGCGGAAAAAAGGGTCATGTTTAAATGGTGGGGAGAACGACGTCGGGAATTGCGACCGACCCCATTCTTCAAGGAATTAACCAATAATATGGTCAAAACTGTTCGATTATCGAAGTTTGTTTACCAGTAGCCAACTTCACCGAACGCTTTATTTGATTTCAGCATGAAGCCCGCGACTGATTAGGCTAAGGCTAAATATTTTAAAAAGCTGCACTCTCCGTCTTAATTAGCCCAACAAAGCAGAACAGTAGGACGTAAAACTCTTATTTCATTTCAAAACTTCTGAAAACTTTACACTTGTAAATATAAAACAAATGAATAGACATGATATTTTTATTAATGAATTATCACAGGCGAAAATAATAATATTTTGATAAATAACTAACTAATAATAATAATAATAATAATAATAATAATAATAATAATAATAATAATAATTCTTTCGAAAGGATATTCTCGCATAATAGGCCTACAGGAAAACTGTTTTCAAGAGACACAGCCATTTAAAATTTAAACTAAAGCTTCTTATACACTCAGGTACATTCTTGAACTTGGTCCTCATCAATTAAGTTATTTTGGAAACAGCTTAGCCTTAGTTCTGCCTTTTTCCAAAACCTTTCACAATTTTTATGTCATGATAATGTTTTCTGTTTTTATTTAAAGTAATATTCACTTTAAAAATCCAAAATGTTCACGCTCCAAACAATTATTTCGCAAAAAATTTACGATAAAAATATGAAAAAGTGGAGATTTTTACACTGAGGTATAGCACGCTCACAGTTTATCATAAAAAATTGTAAGAAATGAGGTCTTGGCAGTTCTGACGTTCTTGATACTATGTTCTGTTTGGAGAACGACCTTTTGGAGACAGTTTGGTGCATCAGAAAAGTCATTGCCAAATCACTTCTAATCAACAGTCTGCATGTCTAATATTCGTCCGACCTCATGCTTTGGTAAGACCTCTTTCCAATTCTTTTGTAGTAGCTGAAGAAACTTGGATCGTTCGTTGGTGCTCTGGACTAGCAATGAGAGGGTCACTTCCGGTAAGGGAGCTCTGTTTTTAATGTCTTTGTCCGAACTGAAATGATTTAAGGTGACATCCACGACGATTTCTTCGGGCTCATCTGTGAACACTAACTGAACCAGCTGTGGCAATCGTTTACAAAGGATGACTCTCTTGAGGTTACTGATTTTCCGTATGTCCACTACTTCTTGTCTCGGTGTTTCCGGCAATCCGCGGACAAAATCAGGTAGTGGATAGGTCACGATGTCTTCCATAGCTAAGCAGACGTGTGTTCCTGTAAGAATCAGCGTCCTGGATGCACTCTTTTCCAAGAGATCTTGTTCCAAATCGTCAGAGGTCACAAAAACCAGCATGTACAGCCACATGACTTGGTCCTCGGACGACGGGGATGATCCTGATCTAGTCTGGATCTCATCTCGTATCAAGTAAAGAATATCCTGAATCAAATCTTCCCCGGGATAGCAGAAACGAACTTGACTCGGATGCGTATACTCAAGACCTTCCACTGTGGACTTTGTCCTTCTGGTAAAGGCTTGATAGAAGTCTTGCTCTAGTTCTCCATCCGATTTGTCCACCATTGGCGAGGACACCATCAAGGACAGCATTGATTTGAGTTCCTCCAAGAGGATCTCTGTGATCATACCATCTCTTGTGACCAACGTGAACACTGAGTTCTCGTCCTGTCCCGTCAGCCTGATACACTGGTCAAACAAACCAACATTGACCTGATGTAGCTCCATAAACTTTAGAATAAATAACGGCTTCAGAAAACCTCTCTTTCTAGACTTACTAGGGTCTGCTCCAACGGATGATTTCCAAGCAAAGGCCGAATCTGATTTGTGTCGGTTATGATTCATCCACGGTGGTCTAGAGCTAGCACCTCCTGGTACTCCCTTATCAGCTAGAACATAAATAGCACTAGTGCTGAAGAGGGCCAGAGATACCATTTCATCTTTAGGATTGCTGTAGGCAATGACAGTTGTCCACAGAACTCGTCTTAGCTCCTCTCCAGTCCCGAATTTAGCAATGTTCTCATGGAAGAAGGAAGCTAAATCGCGACCATCCATCAAAGCAAACGGTTTCAATTTCGTGGGAAGATGCTTACACAGGTTGTAGTTCCTGACCGATTGCTTCAAACGATCTTCCAGAGTAGCACTGAGGTACTGAATCTTGGATTTGTTGATTGTGGACAGCAGTCCAAAGCTGTCACTGTTTCCCGAATCTGTCAATTCGGATTCTCTGGACTTTTGACATACGTTTTCTAAAGGTTCCTCTGGAATCTCCAGCTTAAGCTGCTGGTTCAAAGGCTTTTTGCCTTCTTCTTGGACATTGGGAAGAATATCTTGTACGTAATATTTTGAAATGTCGAAACTCGAGGGCAGCGAGTACACATCTCGCTTCTTAAGACTGGAATGTCTGGCGTCAAGGTCACCGTCTGGTTCGCTCCCTCCATCAGGCTCCTCGCGGAATGTTGGTGACATCCGATGTGCGAATTCCGCTCGTAAATTTGTCAAACGCTCCAAGAAAAAATCGCGGGTCGACATTGACGGGAAAAGAATATCAAAGTTTTGAGACAGTGTTTCATGAAATATCATAGAGAGTCCAAACATGGAACAACGGACGTGTTCTGTGCTTATTTTCTTTTCCGATTCCTGATACATTCGAATATCACTGATCCGTGCCATGATGTCAAATTCTTGTAAGATTTCCAATTTCGGAGATTCGTAATTTTCCGAATCATAATTAGGCCACGGCCAGTGACAGCTACCGATGGGAAGCAAATACACCTTACACTCCGACAAAAACAGGAAGCAACTTAAAGAGTTAGATTTCTGGATAACGCACGTAGAAAAAACGATTCTATCCGAACACATGCCAGTGGCATCTTCACGCATGAAAATCAACTGAGTCAAGTCTGAATCTTGGGATAGATCAAGTATATCGGGAGAATTTGGACCTTGCACATCACAACAATTGGCTTTAAAAGTCTCAGCGAATTGTTGGACACGCTTGTTGTCCAGTCCGATCAAAGTAAACGTTCCCATATGCTTCACGAATCCTTCTTCGAACCGAAGATAACTGAAGCACGGTCCAATAATAAGCTGATTAATATTACACAAAGTGAGAATATATACCGGATGAAAATCAGGAACGTCTTCGAAGCTCGATTCCACAGGATTCAACGCCTCGATATAAAGTTTCTTTTTCGTCAGCACACAGCAACAAGACAGGATATTTTTAGGATGAGAAAACTGGATGACCTTACACCACATGATGTCCAATATTGGATCTTGTGGATGTTTGGTGATGGCGCCACTCCATTCGGCACCAGAGCTCAGCAGCTGTTGAGACAACCATTTGGTGAAATCTGTATTATTCAAGCAGGGAAGGTCTGTCATGTTCACCACTGATAAACGTTTTCTGAAACAGAAACAAAAAGTGACGAAGGTTTGCGCAAAAATTCCAGAGAGATCTGATGTCTGGCATTTTATTTAAAGAATGATTGGCATAGCTACGATACCCATTCAAAGGCTAAAACATTTCAATGGTTACCTTTTCTTGTTCATGTTGAGGATATTTTGAGGAGGAACCACACTTGGTTCCACTGATAACGGAATAATTCCTGAAAGTCTGTCATGTCGGTTAGGAGTGGAACTACTCTCCTGAAAATTTGAAGAAATCAAAAATTTAAAAGGCATACAGATTGGAAGAGTAGAATATTTCTTACCTTGAGGAGGATTTAAACCCACGGCACCTAATCACCTAGGAGACGACAATCCAACTCGCTACCTCTAGCTACCCACTGCCGCATTTACAGAACTGGACTAAGGAACTTTTGTTTATAGTAAAGTCAGCAAATGTTTACTTACTTGGCTATCTGTCCTTCCCATCAAAACAGCTGAGTGCTTCTCTATTGGTTCACCAGGAGTGAATTTTGTGTCCACAGTATAAGAATCTCCAGCTGCTAGATCTTCCTGAGTAGAAGCATAATCATGATGTCTTACTCTTGATTCCTTTGGGTCTTCAGATAATAAGTTTGATTCTGTATCTTCCAAAGATGGATGTGAATCCACTGTATGTTCAGATGGAACATTATGATGAGGGTTGTCTTGAGAATATTTGTGGTCTGGGTCCAAATATGACGTCTGCTCCATGTTTTGTTGCTGTGTGCCAACTGTTTCCTCTTCTAATGATTCGATTGCTGCAAAAGAATCAAAAATCAAAATAAATGACAACAGCTCATCTGATGCTGTTAATACATGCATCGGATATAAAATCCTCATCAGGGCATCTTGTTTGAACATAAGACTTCAAAATATATTAAATGAAAATCAAGATTAATACTAATGCCATATCAATTACAATAACTAATTTTCCGTGGATGACATGTGTTTTGGATATGAAATCCTCATCAGGACAGGACAGGACATGACTTAAGGTTAAAGCAAAGCAGGTAAAAACAGGTCATAAAAACAATATTTAGCTTTGAGAGGCAAACGCACGAAAACCAGGGAATATCATTTGCATAGTAATGATTCAAAATTTACAAAGAGAATGAAGATACATACTTGATTACCTGAATTATGGGCGTGGTTAGTGATGGAATGATGGGAGGAGCTTGATAAAGGGGCGGAACTTGAGAGATTGACAGGTTCACCTGTTAGTTTTGGAGGTGTGCAACTATACGCTACATCGCTCAATTCACCATTCTGATAAATAAAAAGAAAAGAGAAAAACTAAATTGAAGAAAGCAAACTCCTGCATTAAGGTGCCAACACTCAAGGTTTAGGACTGGGTAAAATGATAGAAATAATTGATAATCATCGCTAGGAATTTATCATTTCGATTATCGGTTATCAAATTTCATAATCGATTATGTCAAAGTTACATTTTCTCCATTGTACCTGTTAACAAGTAGTAATCTCTTCAACATAGTTTCCCTTCAGAACATAACATACCCTTAATAAACTATAATAACTGATCAAAGCAAGAATATACTTCTATGACGCAAAAATTACCCATGAAAAAAAGAATTTTGGCATGTTTTTAATTTAGTATTTACAAGGTTTCTCAATTGAATTATTTAGATTGTTAATTGAATATTGATCGGTAGTCTGCCATTGATAAATGATCTTAATTTGGTAATGGATACCCAGCCCTACAGATGTCAGTGTGAAATGAAATGAATGGAGTTTTACGTCCTACTCTTCTGCACCTTGTGGGCTAACGAAGACGGGCAACGCCATGCAGGGTGCCATGAGGGAAATTTTGCCAGGACAGCGGCATTAGCCTGCTCTTTTTCGATTTCCAACTGTCGAGGGATCTTTAACGTGCACAGCCTGTAGCACACGGGGCCTCGGTTTATTGTCCCATCCGAACGACTACATGCTTTTTCCATGTCATCCCCTCTTACCTGCATCACTGACAGGGGGAAACCGGGTTGAAAAATCCGAAGGTATTATCTCGACCTATGCCGGGATTGAACCCTGGACCTTCAGGTTAGCGAGCAAGCGTCTAACTCACTGAGCCACCGCGGCTCCCAGATGTCAGTGTGGCGTACAGTACAGAATTGTATCTATATATATAACAATCTGTATACCACACCCGACTCTATACTTCATCTGTTCATACCTTCAGTCCATAAAGCATCTTTAAAATATTTATAGTGCATTTACTCTGATGCTCAAAATGGCATAGATAATCGTAAAAACATCACCAAATCTTCAAATTAAGTGTTGGTAATAATTGCTATCCCCTACCTTTCTGGATTTGATCTGTTTTGCTCGCTCCTTGCTATTTTTAGCTTTTTGTAAAGCAACTAACACTGCCACTGTGTCTTGTTCTTTTTGGCTGGCTTTCTCCATGTCCAAACAAACCTGAAACAAAATTAATATACAAATAATAAAATATAACAACCTAGGTCCTCAAAGGTCCTATCTACCAGCTGATTCATGGTCAAACCTCGTGAGAATAATTTTCTCAAGAGTAACAGCTAATTTTGAGGACCCTGTCTACCAGCGGGTCTTAAGACAAACCACTAGGCAATGATTTTACAAGGATAACAACCTAGATTAATAAGGATCTTGTCTACCAGCTGGTCCTTGGTCAAACCCTTTGGTAATGATAAGACAAGGATAACAACCTAGGCTCATAAGGATCTTGTCTACCAATTGGTCTGTGGTCAGACCTCTTGGTAATGATTTTACAAGGATTACAACTTCGGTTCTCAAGGATCTTGTCTACCAGCTGGTCCTAGGTCAAACCCCTTGGTAATGATTAGACAAGGATAACAACCTAGGCTCATAAGGATCTTGTCTACCAGCTGGTCTGTGGTCAGACCTCTTGGTAATGATTTTACAAGGATTACAACTTAGGTTCTCAAGGATCCTGTCTACAAGCTGGTCCTTGGTCAAACTACTTGATAATGATTTTACAAGAAAACAACTGTGCAACTTGGTTCTCAAGGATTGTGTCTACCAGGAGGACCTTGTACAGCCATGAGGATATTAGTGGGGTCATTAGACTTCTGTGTCCCTTCTCATGATTAGAATATGGCTCACCTCTGTCACTCTGTCAGCGAAGAGTTCAAATACTTTAGTTCTATAGTCTAATACCATGGTCACTGGATTTCCTCTTAGTAATAGGTTTTCTAAACAAGGGAGACCATTCACTGGAGCTACATCTTCAATCTGCAAGACCACAAGTAATAGATTTATGAACAATATAAGCCTTGTGGACACTCTAAATGGGATGCTATGTTGATAAACCTCAATACTAAATAAACATTATTATATGGACTCTCTGAAAGGGATGTCAAGTTGACAAACCTAATACAAACATTAATTATCTATGTGGACTCTCTGAAAGAGATACCGAATTGACAAATAAACATTATTGACTATGTGGACTCTATGAAAGCGATGTCAGGTTGACAAACCTAATACCAAACATTTATTTGCTATGTGGACTCTCTGATAAATCTAAATACCAAATAAACATTTTTAGCTATACGGACTATCTGAAAGGATTCTGGGCTGACAAACCTAAATATTAAATAAATATTATTGGCCATGTAGAATAGTATACTGAGTTGCGGCAGAGTGCAATCAAGTGTTCTGGTCAAAAAAATTAAAAAGAATTACCTTAGTAATGTCATTATGACTAATATCTAAAGTTTCCAGTGAAAATAACTTGGAAAAGGCTGAAAAAAAAAAAACCAAATCAGGCGTCTAGAAGAGTAAGCATACCAAAATCGCTCATATGAGGAAGTATATCAATTATAAATGCAGAAGTTTTTCAAAATGAAAAGTGATATCAGGTGTCTAGAGGAGTAAGCATACCCTGCCTGCTGCCACATCAAACTTGCACAGACCATAATGAATGGTCTTATATAACTAATCGAAGAATGTAGAAAAAAAGTTTGAAACGTACCTTGTAAATGAGTAAGTTTATTGCCTGCTAATTTCAATGTTTTTAAGTTACCAAGTTTGGTGTGAAGAGATTCCGGGTTGTCCAACATATTATGGGATAGATCTAGGTATGTGAGTTGACTCAACCATTGAAAGTGTTTCATTTCTCGTATCTTGTTTCTGCTAAGATCCAAACGCTCAACATTTGGTACCATTTGCTGAAAAACAAAAACAATACACATAACTAAACCTTCCACACTCTCGCTTCGAATAAGTGTAAGTTTTGGAAAGATGAAAAATTCATTATCTTTAAACATAGAGGGTACGGTATTAGACATCTTCACAATGTCAAGGTATTACTCTGTCTAATACCTTGACATCATTAAATACTTTTCTTCTATAACAGAAGATCTACTGCCTTATTCAAATTCAGGTCAAATTCTACCCAAAAATCGATAAGCCCTTCCCCTTATTCTCATTCTCCAAAACTGAACTAAAATAAAATCCAGATTTTAAGAAATACAATAATCTGATTGGACGATAAAACCAAATATAAATCGATTTAAAGGATTGATCAATCAGAATACTGAAATACTTAAGTGTTCAAAAATTTATAAGCTCTTCCCTCAGATCTGTTTGGCACTTACTATGCTTTCATCTATAAAAGATATGGAATTATGGGATATGTCAACTTGTTCCAGACTGTCCCAGTATGATACTACCAGGGTTCCATCTTCAGCCTTCCAATGTCTGGCATCCGGTAGCAGGATTTCCTACAATACGAAATGAGAATTTTATTTAACTTGCATAGATACAAGATAGCAAATGCATACATCCTGACACAAGGGAACAAATGAATGAACCTATGACCGAATGAATGAATGAATGAATAAATGAATGGCCAAATGAATGAATGAATGAATGAATGGCCGAATGAATGAACAAATTACTAATATAATGAATGAAACAAACAAGAATACAACCCAGGTTCCTGAGGATCAATTCTATCAGCTGATCTTCAGTCAAACCTCTTGGCATTTACCTATCCTGGACCATTCGATTGACTTAGTGAATGAATGAATGAAAAACCAACCTATCTTAAGATCAGTAAATGAATGAATGAAAAAAACAAGCTACCCAAGTACATGTGAATGAATGAATGAATGGATGAATAAATGAATGGATGGATGAATAAATGAATGAATAAATGAATAAATGAATAAATGAATAAATGAATAAATGAATAAATGAATAAATGAATAAATGAATGACCTACCCTGATATCAGTAAGTGTATTATGTACAGATAAAGTTTGAAGAGTTTGTTTGACTGTTTCTAGTCCTTTCACAGCTGAAGCACTACAATTCAATATCTGAAAACAATAAATAAAAGAATAGAAAATTTCATCATCACAAACGTATTTTAATTCTGTAATTTTTGAAAATCTTTACGTAATTATCAATACCCAATTAGCTGACAAATTAAACATATTATTAAGAAATAAAGCCACCTACCTCAACATATTCCAGTGATTTAAAGAGAGTTAGATCAAATATTAGTTTATTCATATTAATATTACTACTTCCTACATCTTCATTACCTCCATATACCTGAAATAACAGTACATGGTGAAATTGTGTGGGGAGAGAAAGACGGTTCGGGTGTTGGTGTTAGTTTGGGGAGAGGTTCAGCTGAAATGAGTAACCTTACAGCTTGGGTTTGATGCCTTATTAGGTTGAGATAGCAGCTTCCATTGCATTTTGAGCTCTAAAAAGATCCTCACTTGCTAACCTTTGTGAAGTTTGTGATTTATCCTTGAATGGATAATATCTTCACAGTCTGGAATAGATGACATATTCAAGATGACCTCACTTTTACATGTTGACCGTGATTAGAACCCACAACCACTATTTGTTCAACATAACCAAGTAAATGACGTCATGTAAAGATTTCCACTGCTAAAATTTGAGGTTATTTTTTAAATTGTAAAGTACAAACCTTGAGATATTTTAACCTGGTGATAAAATCTAAGATATGACCCAAATCTTTCTTAACATCTCCACTGTCTGAAAAAAATTATTCACAAAACGCTTAGTTTTAAATTCACAGACATCTGATTGAAAATAGAAATGGTGCTGATAAATGCTATAAGTGTCACTGATACACATAAATTTTTTAGAAAACCTATTTACAATCTCTTTGGCATAGGATTTCAATTTCGATAGTTATAGTTTTCTTCTGGTGATTTTAAAACAAGAATTAGGACATACATTGCAACAAAAATGCTCAAAATTTACATTCAAAAGCAAAAAATATAAGAAATACAAAATAATACTTTTTTGTGGAAGAAGTGCAAGAAATAAAAGGAACATAGATAAGCCATCAATTTATAGGAAACTTAAAGAAATGCTGGTAAATAACTTCTAAGGGCAAATCTTGGGCAATAAAAATTTTAGTTTTGTCTTTACACAGTAAATATAGGTGACTACAAGTTTGTATATTTAAATATTAAGATTCCATATTTTGACCAATTTTGTATATGATAAAAAAGGGTGCAATAACTAAGACAGCTAAATGGAACTTAAATCGGTTACTAATTAACGCAGGGAAAATTAATTGATAGAAAAGAGGAACAAACATTATAAAGAAGTTCTATTTACCTCCTTAAAAGCAAAGAAAAAATCGATAAAAAGTTAAAATCATAAAAGTAATAGTTAACTTAAAAAACAGTCAAGAAATTTTTTTATTTACAATTTTTTATCTAATTAGAAAGCCCCCTAAACCACTACTCAGGAAAATTTTAAAATTGCTTAAAACTTCTAAAGATCTGCTTGACAGTTACAGCTAATCTTCAGCTACCTGAATCACTTTTCAAAATTAAAATCAGGCATGCTATTTATCAATCATATAATAAACTGAAATATCTTACTTACCACAAGTTGGCTCTGGTAGTTTTAATCTCTCTGTTAAAGCGTAAAGCTGTAAGGCTGATAGGGTGTAGGTTTCACGCAGCTGTAAAATGCTTTCTCCTAAAACACAACATCAATGTTTTATCTTTATCCATTAAAAAAAAGTCTGAATTTGTAAAGTTGGGAAAGATTTCTCATTGAGTTTTTACTCAAAGAAGTGAAATGACAATTTGTTATTATCATTTCTTAACAAGTTGTCTCACATTCCCCTCCCCAATTCAAAAGAAAAATCTAGACCAATACTAACCTTTATTATATAATTCTTCTGCCAGAGACTGAGTTAAACCATGAATTTCCTGAAAACGGAAAAGGCAATTGAATTTATGAGGGTTGGGATTATAGCTTCAAAATGTGGGTCAAAATGAGTCCAATAGCCATCCTGGATCATTCAAGATGACAAAATCAATGAGGTAGACATGAAATGAGCCCAATAGCTACCCCGCTTCATCTAAAAAATGGTCCATTCAGACATATCTCACAGTATATACCACTGCCAGTGCCTTCACGAATCAGTATGATTTCCAGGCCATGTATTCTGGAAACAATCTTAAGGCTATGATATCCTAGAAATAGTGTTAGAAGATAAGAACCTAGGACATCCTAGTGCTAAGATCATTTTGAGAATTTGCTGCCAGGATACTTACATATTCTTCGAATTCCAAGAAACTAGCAAGTACAGACGGGATTTTCTGGGCAACGTAATACAGAATAGTCTGAAGATACGATTCTAAATCAGCCTGTCGTTTTTTAATGAAGGCATCGTTTTGGTTACCAAATACTTTTTTCTTCGGGAGTAAATTTTTATCGAGGCGATGAGTTGATACGAGCTAAAAATAATAAAACTAAAAATTTTGAAAAGCGTTCTGTTGTTTGAAAATGATAATTATACAACATATTCCTGAATTTAAGTTCAAAGTCAGCAACTATTTCTCTTCAATGATTGAAAGAAAAAAAAGAAAAAAGATTACAAGTTGTTCCTCATGATACTGTCTTAGAACTTATCCTTAACGGCAAATCTCTTGGCAATGACTTCGATGTGCTAAGAATACGAGGAAGTAAATCAAAGTTAAAATATAAAACAGGCTTACCTTATCGTGAAGCTCGTGGAAGTCGCTATAGCGATGTTCTACAGTCCAGGTGTAACACCCTACATTTACTTCAATAATATATGCCTGGAAAAAGACAAACAAAATCAACATAGCTAGACTAGGCTAGTCAGTACAGCTAGGCTCTTATCCTATGAGAGAACATGAATCAAGTGACCAGTTGAACATAGTACCGGCATATAACATCTGCCATTCTATAGGCCTAGAGTAGTAGAGTGATGTGTTACAGTCAGACTGCTTTAAGAATGAACATAATTAGTAGTAGGCTCCACCATTCAATTGTATATGAACCAGATATTTAAGACTTTATTTTGAAAAGTACTACAGATAGATGACAATGTGTTCAGTAGGTTGGCAAAAAACATGCCAAGACACATGATAGCACTTCAATTAATTCATTTTCTAAGATGCAAACACATACAGTGGCCTAAGATTTCTACATTTAGACAGATGCCCGGACAACTCTGACATTTCTTGTTTACGTACCGTAAAATTCTCTCTGGCTTCAGCTCGAGGAATTCTGATGGTCCTCGTTGGACTAAAATTTTCAGGATCTTTTCCAAAATGAGCCATTCTGTTTCAAATATTCATTATGCAAAGTTAATTAAGCTTTTTATCATTTTATTGTATATTCTTCGTCTTTCACGA